TTCTTTATCAAAGAAAGTTATAGAAGAAAGCCACACAGGAAAAAGTTATTTTATGTTTAACGTTTGGTTGATTAATAATCATAATTAACGAAGTGAACCAACTTAGTTTGAAACCGCTAAGTTTGACAATTTTAACGAACCGCAACCGCCTGTTGAATGAAAAGGAGGCGACGTTTCGGCTTCTATACTGAGGCCTTTTTCGGTAGTTGTAGTCCATTACATCTCTCACACCCCGTATGTCTACTCTGCCTAAAGTCTACTGATACACAATAGACGCCACCAGGATTACGATAAATGTTAGTTTAATTAGCATGATCTAACACCCAGGCGGCGCCAGGAATAAACAGTCGAGTTTACTTACATAACAACCACTGCCTGACCATATCTTCAGTTCGTAGTCGTAAAAGTAACAGCCTGAAGTATAAATCCGCAAAGAATAATTGGTGGAAAATTCCCTTATCACGTTATCTGACGTCAGATTGACAGGTGCTACGTCACCAGCAGTGGCGTTTACCGGGCCGTCAATGTCAAAGTCCAGAGGAAGGCTTAGGTTCACCTCTATTATTCCCAGGTAGAAGAAACCAGTCCGATTATTTATCATATCGTTTGGCAAAAACAACTCGAACGTATCTAGAAAAAAAAAATCCTATTAATCAATAATTTTAATTATTTACATTTGTCAGATGAAATTAAAATTAGACCAATTAGATTTTTTAAATATGATATTTTATCTTAAGGAATTTTCAAGAAATAGAATAGTGTATGATAATATAATATTAATAATATATGTGTCATATTCATTGTCGACGACACGTTTCGTTCAATCCAGGCCGGCTGGGATGCAACAAACACAGTAGCAGGCGGAAGATTACTTACTTAATATTTACATAATCTCTCTCTCTCTTAGTTCCTGTCGTTCCTGGTGAAACATAGGGCTACAACAACACTTAGCCGACGGAAGTGTTCGTGCAGTTTCCGTACCATATATTTGTTTTTACGGGGCGGAGTTGCCCAACCCTCCTCCTTTCTCATCCTGGACTTGGGACCAGGCAATGGTGGTGGCATCCCTGCCGGGGAACGAACCCGGTACCTTTGGATTAGAAATCCAACGCGCTATAGGGACACATTTACATAATACTTCACTCAAATAGTCGCAACTCTTAAGTTTGTTTTTGAATTTCGAGCAAAGCTACACGAGGGCTATCTGCGCTAGCCGTTTCTGATTTAGCAATGTAAGACTAGAGGGAAGGCAGCTAGTCATCACCACCCACCGCCAATAGTTTGGCTACTCCTTGACCAACGAATAGTGTGATTGACTGTAACGTTATAGCGTTCCCACGGGTGAATGGACGAGCTTGTTTGGTGGGACGGGGATTCGAACCCGCGACCCTCGGTTTGCGAGTCGAACGCCCTAACCACCTGGCCATGCCCGATCTCGCAACTTTAAGGCAGACCATAATACTCCACTCAAATAATCGCGACACTAAGGCAGACCATAATATTTCACTAAATTATCGCGACTCTAAGGCAGACCACAATACTTCACTAAATTCTCGCGACTCTAAGGCAGACCACAATACCTCACTAAATTATCGCGACTCTAAGGCAGACCACAATACCTCACTAAATTATCGCGACTCTAAGGCAGACCACAATACTTCACTAAATTATCGCGACTCTAAGGCAGACCACTAATACTTCACTAAATTATCGCAACTCTAAGGCAGACCATAATACTTCACTAAATTATCGCGACTCTAAGGCAGACCATAATACTTCACTAAATTATCGCGACTCTAAGGCAGACCATAATATTTCACTTAAGTAATTGAGACTCTAAGGCAGACCATAATACTTCACTAAATTATCGCGACA